CACTGCCACCTAGACCTCTGCTTGGAGTGCAACAGATTCTCCATAGCTGGGTAGGTAAATAGAGATACATGACATTTTTATAAAGGTCTCTTAAAAGTACATTTTCTTTTTTTTATTTGAGACAGGATCTCCTTATGTAGTTCAGGCTGGCCTTGAACTCATGGCAATCCTTCTGCCTCAGCCTCCCAAGTGCTGGGATTATAGGCATGCACCACATCTGGCTTCTTAAAACAGTTTTCTTTGCAATCACCAAGCAGTTCAAGCTATAGAACATTTCCTGTAAGCTCCCTGTGTCCCCACACACTATTATACTTACTTCCATCAGCATTAATTAGTTTTGCCTGTCCCTGAACCTCTCTTAAATGACATCGAGTATATTCTTTTGCTTGGCTTCCTTTGCTCAACCAAACATCTACAAGTCCTGCCCATGTGTGAAACAGTGTTCTGCTCTTCCTTTTTACTCTGCTCAGTCATACACATGCTACCATGTATTTCTCATGCTCTGGAGAGTTGGGGGCACTGGGGGTATACCAGTGGGGGGCTATGAGCATTCCAACATACTTTCTGGTGGGCATGTGCCCTTGCTTCTCTTGGTAGAGACCTACAGCTGGAATTGCTGAAGCACAGGGAAAATCTGTGCGCTAATGGATTTAATAAGAAAGTGTTTTCCAAAGTGGTGGTCCTCTTTGACAGTGTTACCACTTCCTCTCCAGCATTCGGTGAGGTGACTTCCTCATTTCAGGCTCCTGGCAGGTGACTGGTATCTCACCAGTAGTGATGGGAGGTGCTCAATAACCCTTGCTGAATGGACCCCCACAGTGGACTATCCTAGGGCCCTTACTAGGCAGAGAGGGTCACAATCCTTGACTGCCATACTGGCCTTGGAAGCCACTCCCCATTTCACACCCATACACCAGGGCACAGACAAAGCCAGACTGAGACATTCAGACAGGACTTGCTCCCGTGCTCAAGGCTCCCTGATGGCTAGAGAACATTCGGTTTCCAGCAAGGCTCCATAGGCAGGGTTTGACAGGCTATCTCTCCTTGATATTCAGTGGCACCAACAGGGCCAAAGCCACTCCCAGAAGGCACCCAGAGTCCTGGCCCAGAAGTACATCTCCTTTGGCCTCTGCCCTCTGACTCAGAAAGCTGCATTCCAAACACCTGGTGAAGGCCAGGCCAGGCCCTTCTCATGGGTCTGGGAGGAGCATATGGCTGGCTGGTCGCCCAGCTTGGCTCAGGTGGGATCTTGTGACCAGCATCAGCCAGTGGGAAGAGAGCAGAGGCACTGGGCCACTCCCAGTCCTGACCCATAAAAGTCTCCATTAGCTCTGAGCTTTCCCCTTCCATGGTGACCTTTAAAGTCAAGGCTGAGGGTAGTAGAGCCACAAGAGTCTAGGCCCTAAAGTCCTTGGAGAAGTTCTGACCACTGATCAGATAAATCCCATTATGAACTTTATGTGAGTGATACCAAACCTCCACTGCATTTGAGCGTGTGTATTTTGGGTTTGTTACACCTGCATCCTTGCTCTAATACTGGTATAACTACTATATATAGTAGAGTATGGAAAAGTAACACAGGAAGTAACTTCCCTTTCAAAGGAGAAAACTGAGACATAGAAACTACAGAGCTTCTCAATGTTAGTAAGGAGTCAGGATTTGAATCTGGAGCTTGGCTCCAGGGCTGCCTGAAGCTAAACCGACAGCCCAAGAACACTAAGGGGAGGGGAGGGGAGGTGGAAAGAAGGGAAAAGAATTAAGATGCGTTATGTGTACATACCAACTGCCCACAAGGAAAGGAATCATTATGGACTGCAAACATATACTAATAAAAAACAAAATTAAAATGAACATAGAGGGCCAGTCAGCTGCTCCAGGGGCATCCTCATACCTGTTGCGGAAGGAATTGGCAAGTGATGCACACGGAGAGATGAGCTGAATGGAAGTAAAATAATAAAAAGTTTATTTGCCAGCAAAGGTCGAATCATGTTCAAAAAGGCAGTGCCAGTAATCGACCACCTATTAGGTTGCAGCTTCCTTTTTTATAGGTTTTACAGCTATGATCTCATTCAGGTGGTTACATTTCACTCCTCAACTTACATCACGGTCACAAGAGAGTTAACTTAAACCCAAATGTAACAGTTCCTTGCAGTTGGGGAGTTTACCTGAAGATTTCTCTAGTTATCTATTCTAGTGCACAGGAAGTGGGTGTTCAAGGTTAGGGATGAGGCCAGATGTCCCATTTCATGGTCAGTGCCTCCAGTGTCTGTTAATTTGAACTAAACAAAGCAGATTGCTGTTAGAGACAGCAAAAGTCATTTTACATTTTCCTAACATTTCGTAGATTTTTTACGTTATTTACAAAAGTTCTATCCCACCCATCTGTGCCTCCTTGAGCCATCTGCTTGGGTGAAAAGGGGGACTGCTCCCTGCATCCCAGCCTCACTTTGTCATCCTCTGGCCCTCTCAGCTCAGAACCCACATTTTTTTTTTCCAGTACCAGGGATCTAACTTATGATCTTACTCTTGCCAGGCAGGGGTGGAACCACTGAGCTAAATCCCCATATTTTGGATGCACCTCAGCAATAGGCTCTCCTTTCCCATCCCCACTCCTCAACCCTGCTTAGTACGGCTTCTGCTCTGATGACCCTGAATGTCCCCATCCCCTGGGTCTGCCCCCAATCTGCTGCTAGAAAACACTACCTCCAAGACCACCTTCTGTTCATGGTACCCATGTCACCCATAGCTCTTTCAGTTATAAAGAACAGAAACTCAATGGTGTAGAAGGGGGAATGTTTATTGGCTTAGGTCACTAAGAAGTACAGGTACACAGGCATCCGGAGGGACTGGACCAGGTGTTCAGATGCCATCAGATTATCACCTCTGTCCCTTTGCTCTAAGGCAGGATGGCTCCTTGGGGTGGCCAGTGGCTTCCACAGCTCCCAGCCCATGCCAGCATGGCTGCTGTCATCTTCCATTGGGGACCTTGTCAAAACCCCTTTCACATAGTCCTACCTGAAGTCCCGGGGCTCAACCCCACCTCGCATCAGTCACTGTCCAGAGCATGGGTGATGGGACCAGCCGGGCTGGTGCCCCATGCCCAACCCTCAGCTGTGTGTACTCAGGTTGGGGCAGACAAGTTCCTTAACAGGAAAGAGAAGTTCTGTGACCAGGGCAGGAGTAGATAGGAGGCAGACAGATCCCTCAGAGGTCCCATGTCATCTCCAGCTACCCAGATGTCTACCCAACCACCTCACTCCACACCTGAAGTCACTCCACCACCACCACTCTTCTGGGCACTGTCTTAGCCATCTCCCCTGTTGCAGGGTTGGTGACCCTGACTTCTGGTTCATAGAGCAATCACCATCGGGTAAAAACTGCAGGCACTTTAATGCCCCCTCCAAAACCTATGCCGAGCATAGTACCTACATATGCCTGGAATCTGAGCACTTGGGAGGCTGAGACAGCAGGATTGCCTCTAGCTTGCAGCAAGCGTGAACCACATAGCGAGATCCTGTCTCAAAAAACAACAAAAACCAACAACCAAAACAACAAACCTACTCACTGCTCTCCTGTTTCAGGTTGGGGTCTGTCTTAAATCTATGAACTCTGCTGTCTCCTGTCTCTTCAGCCCCACCTTCTCAAGAACTTGGGTTTCTGCCATCATTTTTTTTTCTTACAATGCTAAGGATGGGGTATGCTGGGAATGGAGCCCAGGGCCTGTGCATGTTAGGCATGTGCTCTACCAGGTTAAAAAACAAAACAAAACAAGGGCCGGGGATTTAGCTCAGTAGTTCCGCATCTGCAAGCGCAGGGTCCCGAGTTCGATCCCCGGTACCAAAAAACAAAACAAAATTTTAAAAAAACTATACCCTACTCCTTCAGTCCCCTCACAGCCCCAAGCATGGTCCCCAGAGTTTTTCACCTCAGCTCATCTCTCACCAACAACCACTAGGGCAATGAAACATCTCTAGCAAAGATTCTCCCAGTGCCAGATATCTCAAAAGCACCATCTCCTTGTCTCTGACATTTGGCAGCTGACCTCTCTCTCCTAGATGCATCTGGGTAGCCTAGGGTCTAACTGCTTCTTTCTCCTTCAGTGAGCTCTCCATACTGGGGTGGCCATGTGTCTCTAGGCCTCTGCATCTACACTCATACTCAACACCTCCCTGAGGGCCTTCATCACCCCAAATTCATCACATCCAAACTTGTGGGCTTCAGGCCAAACCTTGTTCTCCCCATATCCCCAGCTGGAGAAGGGCCTCTGCCTCTGCCAAAATTGCTGCGGAGAGAAACTAGGGTGTGGTCCTTAAGCATTCCCTTCCTCTCAGCTCCCCTTATATCCAAGGTCAAAACAGACCCCTATCACCACTCTCTGCGTCCTTGCCTCATCCTGCTTCAAGTGCCATCATCTTCAATTGGCTTCCCAAGAGCGCACCAGAGCCCTGGATGCTTCTGCCCATCCGGAGGAAGCCAGCAATCTAGTCAAAATCAGATGTACCCATGATCTGGCAAACCCAAGAGTACCACATAGCCTCATCAGCCTCACCAAGCCTCACTAAGCCAGGCTCGTATCTGCCTGGAGGGATGAGCATCACTGCTGGGCTCCAAAGCTGCCTTCCAGGCCCCTCTACCATCTCACCCACCTCTGCTCCTGCTGCTCCTTCCCACTGCCCTCCACTGCACCAGGTGTAGAGCCGACATCTGCAAGGTCCAATCTCACCGCTTGTCTGTCCGTTCACAACCCAGAGAAAGGGAGGATCCTGCTCAGGGTCACACAGCACAGTGAGCCCACTATCTCCGAGCACATCCATCACCTGCTGGCTCAGGCCCTGGGCCCCTTCCTCCCATCAGCACCCCATGGCCTCCAGCCTCACCAGCTGACTCTCCCTTCACTCAGCTGTTATCAGGCCACCACTGTTGCTGGCCCTAGCTCTGTGTGGTGGGTGGGTATGAAAGCAGCCACAAAACCCTGAACAGAGGTTGGGAAGGCACTGACATTCCCTTTTATTATTTTTATTAATAAATTTAAGAACGGTTCCATAGTCTCTCCTCCCCCCAGAGCAACTAAAACCAACTAAAAGGGGGTATGGCCTGGGGGGCAGGGGGTGCTAGGAGTCATAGTCCTCTTCATCCTCTGCATCAGGTGCTGAGGGACCCGGGGGTGCCGGAGGCAAAGGCAGAGTAGAGGCAAAGGGCATGAAGGGAGCTGAAGGGCTGCAGAGCAGAAAGCATGAGGAAAATCAGGCCACGTTTGACACCCATCCCTGCCCACGGCTCCACTCTGCCCTCTACAGAGGCAGCTATGAAGCCCACCACTTTCTTTAACAAGGAAGCCAGGCTCCAAATAAAGGAAGAGCCCAAACCAGATGCCACAGCCCCTACCCACTCCACCCACTGCCCTAAAGTGAGGACAAAACCTTCTCATATAGCAGTCTCCTGCCTCTCAGCCCCCTTCAGTCACTCCCTTCCCAGCCCCCAAGTCTGCCACAACCAACAAACTAGGTGGCCTTACAGAGTCTAGTGGCCTCTTCTGGTATCCTGGGGCTGCTTACCTTTGAAAGGGGGCAGGAGGATGGCTGGCCTGGGCTGGGGGCTGTGGCATCTCTTCTTCCCCATCAGTATCTGTGTCTTCAGACTCATCCTAAGAGCACAACAGGGGTCAGAGTTGACAATAAAAAGCATAAACCCACCATTGGGTAGCCCAGACCCCTGGGAGTGGCAGGGACAGGAATAGCAGACTCCTAGGGCCGCAACTTATACACACAGACCAAGACACAAGAGGTCACAGGTAAGGACGAGATCAGCCTCCTGCCAGCTCAGCCTGGTGCACAGCTGCCCTTCCTACCACCATAAGGTAGGACAAAGTGTTGGGGACCTCACTCACCTCCTGCTCAGAGTCTGTCCCAGACAGCTTCTTGTCCTTGCCTTTGCTTCCCATCCCACCATTCTTCCGGCTGCTGCTGCCTGGCTTCCGTCCCCTTCGGGAAGGTATAGTCCATCTGCCCAGAGGTCTCCCCACTCCTTGGCTACCCCCCAACCACCCCCAACCCCTGTGGCCTTGGCATTCCCCACCGGTATACCAGGCCCTGACCCCCCACCTTCGAGGGCCCTTGTCCCCGTCCATGTGGTTGTCTTCCCCATCCCCCTGCATGTCAGGCACCGATGCCACCAAGTCCTTCAAAAAGTCAAACTGCTGCTCCAGCTCAATGCATTGCTTCCTGGAAGAGGTGAGGAGGGAGGCACTCAAGTGGGGCTCTGACACTGAGCTCCTCTGTGAGGAACAGCGAGAGTCCCTGAATGTCAGGAGCATGAAGCTGGAAAACTCAGTTCCTGTCTCCACCCCTTCCTCCCCGATTTGCTCAGGTAGCACCTGCCTGGGATTCCTAAGCCCCCTTCACCGGTGTCTGCGGCCTTGTCGCCCCCAGCAGCCTCCCGCCTCCCTGGCCGTCGGAACGCTGCTCCCCAAGGCCCCTCCCAGCTCCGCGGCCGGCCACTCACAGGTGGGACGTGGTCATGGTTTTGGCGTTGCGGGACTGGGTCACTTGGCAGGCCTTCTTCAACAGCGACTCCAGAAAGAGCTCGAGCGCCCGGGCTGAGGGAAGTCAAGGAGAACGCGGGAAGAGGGGGGGTGCCCTGCCCCACCCTGCGTCCCTCAACCCGGCCAGCCCCCGATGGGATACAGATGATGACAGGCACAGCCGCCGCCACCTTCCCGATCTCCTCGTCTGTCTGCATGATCTTCTTGATCCGTGCCTGCGGAAGGGATCCGAGTTCAGAAGCCGTCGCCTTCGGCCCGTAC